TGTTTTGCAACTGGCGGCTGAACTGTTCTTCAACGTCACCAAGTGCAAAGTTCTCAGCATACGGCACAAGAGTATGCACAAGTACCGCCTAGGATCAGAAATTCTACAGCGGGCTTCTCACGAGTGCGATCTCGGCTTGATAGTTCAAGATGACCTCGGTTGTTTGAGGCAGACTGAAAAGACAGCTAAGAAAGTAAACCAGTACCTCGACCTTCTTTGCAGAGCTTTCGGGAATTTTGACCTTTCAGTCTTTCCAAAAATGCATAGTGCGTACGTGAGGCCACACGCGAAATACGCTATTCAAGCGTGGCAACCGTGGCTCAAGCACCATCCCACCGCACTCGATACTGCACAACGTAAGGCAACGAAGAGCGTCAGAGGTTTGACCAGCCTCTCCTACCCACTCAAGTTGAAGACCCTCAAAATATACAGTGGACATTATCGGCGTCTAAGGGGCGATCTCATAATAGTGTACCTGATCCTGAGAAACCCCAACCACCCATGCCATTTCTTTCTAATACTCAGTCAAAACACCCCTCTAAGAGGTCACCAGTTTAAGTTAGTCACGCAGTACAGCCGCCTGGAATGTCGGCGAAACTATTTCTCCCTTCGAGTGTCACAGCCTTGGAACGCCCTCCCGGAACATGTAATTAATGCACCCACCCTATCCCTTTTCAAAAAACGCCTTGACGATACTGTCAAATTTACACTACGTGCTATAGCCCATGACCACCAGCTGCTGGGACTAATGCACAACAGATAGTGGATAGTGCCATAACCCTACTCGAGAATGAGTCACTCCAAACGCCTTGCACAAAATTTGATAAATGCTACTACAATAGAAACTGGATTTCTGTATCCTGTCGACCCAAGATAGTTGCACACGAGCAAGCGTTGTCCTTGCTATCTTTTTATTTTTTTTCTCATCTATTATGTGATCAATAACCACTCCCCTTATTGCTTCATGTGCGTACATTCTCATTTCAAACTCCCTTTATACGGCAGTGCAGTGTAATCGCCCGAACTGACGACTCCATTATCCCTTCATCTCTCTTTTTTTCACGCTAAACACCCTACGGGACATATCAAGCACCTGCTTTTTTACCCGTTATAAGTCATTTTTCATTGTTTATTGTTCAAAATGTTCCGCCCAATGAGTCAGTCGACGAAGCTAGTAATGGATCAGCTGCCCGTCTTCCTCAGCTGTTGTCTCGCCAACTGATGGATCCCTCGGACCCGTGTTCCAGATGGGCTAAAGTTGCACTGGCTTGCTCCATCTCACGGGCTCTTGCTATTCACCTACGTTCCTGGTCGTTTCGAATATTCCTTGTCAGACGTCGTTTCAGGGGTTACGGACACGCTGAAGCTCTGTGCTCATCGGAAACTATTTCCGTGCTTCTATCAAACAGATAGATGTTTCTGTGATCCGTTCACAGTCACGACGTCTCAAGTTGAGTGCACCCCAAACGTCAAAGGCATTCTTCGTGTCACATTTGAGACGATGCAAGTCACTGTTCGGCTCACCAACCTCAGTCATCACTGAAAATCGGTGGGCCAGTTCTTTAGGATATTGTTAAACTGCAGATTGCGAATTCAAATTACAGGTTAAATGGTAGCCGCTTCTTTGAAGCGGGAAAAGTGCGCCAAGCGTGAAAGCACTAGATCATACTCAGAATCGGAACACGTGTTCCAAATTGATTGACAGTCTTAGACTGACGTACGCCACGTGTAGCTGATGGCAATATGGTCAATTTGCGTTCAGGAATACGATGGGCGCCAGGTGGCGCGGTGTGAACATTTGTGCTGGAAAGCAGTGCTGCTACATTAAAGGTTGTGATTAGCACACGGTTGCAGGAATCCATCACCATTGTCTGTTCGGCGTGAATTGACTTAAGCGGCCACCTAAGTGTTGTTCATTTCCTGAAAGACGACCCACTTACACATTCATGCCACCAGCAACAGTCACGATGTCAGTATTCTTCGCCATGCGAAGAAGAGTAGAGAGCTGAAAAGAAATCGGCTTTGGTACCCTCTGAACTACATATCATTGGAGCATAAATTGAGGCGATGAAATGACACCTTGTATTCAGACGCTGTTTATTAACCCCAATAAAGTATCGAATCCGAATCGCCCCCATGCGGCTGTTAACTGTTGTCCAGACGAGCAGAGTGCCTTCAGCACGTTTGCTGAGGGCAGTACCAACATCGTAAATATCTTGAGCCATTGACTCGGTATTCATTGCGATGAGACTGGACTTTAATGCAGTGCGATAGTTTGCATGCGTCAATGATCCATTAAGCTATGCTGGATGGTGCTTTAGCTACTTCAGACTCACTCATACCAGATTGACCAATGGTTAGAAATCTGACAAGCTCCATTTCCTGGCCCTCCATGTTGGGGGTTGGGGTGAGGGTGCCTCCTTACTCCATAAAACGGGATCTATGTAATGCAGTACCAAAGCCCCGCTGCAACGCGGTCAGGTTTTTGAACCAAAGGCTTTGGTTGAGAGCCCTAATCGTTCTCCTGTCTAGGTCTGGGCCAGCTGTCAGTATCCTACCCACGCAATACCACATTGTGACTTCTCCTTCAAGTAATCTTTCAATGCTCTGGCCGCCGCAGATGATAACGAACGGCCCCCTATCCGCTGCATCGAGCAGGGTGGAAAGGGGTTCGGACGCTACTGCTGAAGCCTTCCCGTCTTCCTATCCCCATCTTGTACTTTTACATCTTTATTGTCCCGTTCCAACTTCACTTTTACCCCCCGGTTTTCAATCTCCCAATTCTTGTTCCTCCCCCATCTTTTTTCAGTAATCGGTTATCTTCTAGTTTCGACTCACACACATTCGCAGGGCGTCGCTACGGTCCAGTCGACAACTCCATGTCCAGCCAAATGGACAACGTCACTTCTTCGGTTTCTCTTTGGAGTCCTTGATCCTCTCTAGGACTGACATGCCTCAATGTGCGCACTTCGTTGCGAATTGGCCATCAGGCAGCACTTGCTCGAGCACTGGAGACCCTATCATTTGATATCCGCTGCTTGCCAGAACCTCGCCTACAAGCTTCAAGTTATGTGATTACCCTGCGAACCCCAGCGTGCGACACTGGCAGTATTTTCCCATTGCATTTTTCCGTAGATGAAGTGACTTCAAATGCCGATCAAGCCGGTGTGGGCATTGTTCTTAGCCCACGGGCTGAATCTGCCTTGATCGATTGAATCCCAGTAAACAGCCGGATGTGCGTTCATAGCATCGAAGTTGTGTGGGGACAAACGGTTCTTGTTTGTCATTGCGGTCTCTCTGGCCACAAATTGTATCGCTGGCTCGGTGAAAGACGACTTCTATCACCAATCAAACGCGCTCCTCCGTCAAAGAAATACTACAGTACTGTGGTACTTGCTGATAATTTGAACGCCCAAGTCGGAAAACTGTCCACTGATGTGCTTCATCTGGGTAGTCAATACGGTGTAGGCTTGAAGCGCTTCAAGGCTGCCGGCTTAGACGGACTACCTCCGGAGCTACTCAAGTATGGTGGTGTGGCGATCATTAACCAGCTAACCGCGCTGTTCGCAAAAATTTGGCATGAAGAGAAAGTGCCTTCCTCTTGGAGTGAATCAGTTACTGTCGCAATTTTCAAGAAAGGCGCTCGCACTTCATTTGCAAATCATCGCGGGATTAGTCTTATTTCGGTTGCCTCTAAGCTGTTGGCATCCATTCTACTTCGTAGACTATCCCCAGTACGTGAATCGTACTACCGTGAAGAACAAGCTGGTTTCCTTCCTGGCCGCGGATGCGTGGATCAAATCTCACACTCCGCCAACTCCTTGAACATCGCCACATTTATCACAGGCCCACTATCGTTGCATTCCTAGACATACGTGCCGCTTTTGACTCCGTTGATCGACCTGTTTTATGGCGTTACTTGCTAAAGAACGGGGTGCCAGAGAAATATACCGCCATCTTATGAGCACTTTACCTTCATACATCCGACAGAGTGGGGGTCTATGGCAAGCTTTCCTCGCAATTCGCTGTCAATAGCGGTGTGCAACAGGGCTGCCCTGTGTCCCCATTCCTCTTCAACTTCGCAATCGAAGACGTTCTGTCGAATGCCCTAGAAGGTTTCCAACATTTTGGCCTAGAGCTTCTACCGGGTGAGCGCGCAACCGACTTAGATTATGCTGATGATATCGCCTTACTTGGTGACGATCCTCAGGGTATGCAACTCGTTTTGGATCGTTTGGCGGTTGAAGCATCTAAGTATGGCATGAGCTTCGCAATGACTCCTATCTACTGATTTCCATGGTTTTTATTGGCTCTGTCTAGTTACTAGACTGTTGAGAATACTACTGCTACTACTACTACTACTACTACCACTACTACTACTACTACTACTACTACCCGTAACGATAACGGTGGGCAGTTCCTACACTTTTGTGAAGACGCTTGTCTGTTTCTCACGAGTGTACTAACGTCCGACACAGCACACATCGGAGGGTGACATGGCGGCACCCACCACTAGCCTCGGACCAGCCATAGATGCAAATCGATCACATCGCGATCAGTTACCGCTGGAGAGGATGCATTTAAAACTGTCACACGAGCGGGAACCCGGACCACGCATTTGTTTGCGCCGATCTCCGGATCCGTTTCGGTGGACATCTGCAAGGACACTGAATACATGGATATTTGTCAGATGACGAAGCCAGATGTTCTGAATGCGTATTAAGGTACGCTAGGATCTGACATGAGTCAACGCTCATTGAACATATTTTTAGATCACTGATCACATGTCCGCCAAACGTTATTAGCAGCAGGTATGTCTTATTATAGAAAATCAAGTTGCCAACCTAGACATTGGGACACTATGCGCTCTAAGGAACTTATGGATGCTCACCGGCTGGAAGTGAATACTGTGTGACTCGCAACACTCTCAGAGCAAAACTGCGTGCTTGCCTGAAGAGCTACCTCAAAGCGTGGTGGTCTCATCGTGCCTCGGAGATGGAAACAGCCACTGCTCTTGGTAACCATCGGAATTTATTCCGTCTGCTACGAGAAATGGGCAGCGGGAGACGTGGTATTAGCGTGACTATATGCGATGTGAGTGGACAGTCGATGCACACTTTGTCAAAACGCTTGGAGCGTTAGGGCAAATACCTTTTAAAAGCAGCTTAGCCATTATCATTATACACACTAGCTGTAGGTGGAAAACACCTCAGCTATTGTGTCGCAATACAAAAGGCAAGAAGAGAATATTCAATCGTGGCACGCCGGCTGAGTCCCCAGTATCGGATGGACATCGTTCGGTAGAGCTAACAGCCGGCTATCGTGCCGTAAAATGTTATATTATGCCCAGCGAATGCGCTCGTGATTGGACGGGGAGGGTAAGCACGAGGGGAATGGATAAAGAGTATATATATGTATAAATATACATATACATATATATATATATATATATATATATATTTGTGCCCCATGCCGAGGCTAAGGTTGCATTCTTGATACTTCTTCACCGCAATTGGGCTAAACCAGCTTACACTTAAACTATGTCTTTTAAGCTGGATACATTTCATTCCGCTTTATTTGGTTTGTTCTGCCTACCTGAATTATCCTCTATTAACTGGCCACGTTGCTTACGCTAATTGCGCTTATCTTCGATAACTTTGTTACGTTTGTAGCATTTTTAAGTAACCTGTGGACATTTTTTACTTATCGCGGATTCGTTGCTAACCAACTTACTTCATATGGTAATTTAGGGAAGAGTTATGGCACCGTATCTGTATGCATTATTGGATTTATTTTATTTGGCATTGTCGTTTAAAGTGAATGGTTGTTGCTTGATAACCCCGGTGTGACTGCGCTTGATGTGCATGTTGACAAGGTGCCTACCTGTCTCTTATCCACTACCTCTTCCATACAGACTCTAGAAGACAGTTGGTCGTTGCTGGAGGGGATGTGGTGCACGGTCCATGTGCCCGTGCTAGGCTCAAACAGCGGTCCCATGCACTCAGTGTGGAGCGGACTACGTTCCAGCCACCGCCTTGTGTGCGCTTGGTTCCTCAAATACAGCGTGCTTGTGTTTGCCTGTGAAGGAGTGTGGGCCGCATCCGTTGATGAAATGTGGCTCCCATCCACATGCCTCCCGGTCTTATTCTTTCGGGTTTACACTGGATATGGGGTGTGTGGATGGAGCTGTGGGTGTTGCAGCGGAATCCACCCATGGTCCCTCTGTGGGCGCAGGCGTCCAGTGGCTGGCCACAGTGACAGGCAAATCCGAAACCGGATGCCGCCAACAATTATATATATATATATATATATATATATATATATATATATATATATATATATATATATATATATTTAGCTGGTAGTACTATTTGCACTGCCTATGCTTTCTTAGCCTCTTTTTTAAATTGTGTTCGTAGACCATCTCATCCTTCTCACCACCTTTGATCATTTTTATCCTAACGTCAGGAGTCGTAGCGATTGAATGCACTACATTTGGAAGCCCGGACCATAGCTTTTTGTCCTAACACGGCTGAGCAGTTGCACATGATTTTAGATTTCTGCTTTTTACACTTTTTTTGGTATCACCAATCATGCGTGAGCTGTGACGGATTTGTACCTTGTTGACAAAGGACTTGAGTCAGGCGAGTGAGTGAAGGTAGTGTCAAAGTGTTGATTCGCTTGGTGCGCTGCTCAACTTAGTTTCGGGCGCTTACTAACCAATTCTGGTGTTTTGTTTCAGTGCGTTATGGCGAATGGCTTGCTAGCAGTAACTGAACTTCAGGCAAACTCAGAGAAGAGTAATGCTCTATGCTAACTGAGCTCAACGGATTACTCCTACGTGTTGTCACCCATGACTGAGTACTGAGTAAGGCCTTCGAACTCCTTCAACCTTTAGTGAAGCAGATACTGAAGCCTACCTTATCAGATTCGTCACCATTCATCAGCTTGGTATGGGTAGTATCTAACATACTTCATTAGATCACAGAAGCATGCATACTTGTTCCACTTTAGAGTCCAGTCTCGTATTGGTAGTCGTATAGTAACTCATTTAACTGGCACTTACACTGCTGGTGAGTGGGTTGGAACAATTGAACTTTTACCCGACTCCACTCACACGCTCCCCAAGGGGCCGTGCACTTTGGATTCTTGTGTTTTCTGGAGCGCCTCCTGTTGTGCTCTGTCAACCTTTTGGATTGGTCCGATGTGCTTACAGCTATTGGAGCATCACTGTGTCGTGCGCCAGTAATTGTCGCACTCTTGAGCTAGTTACTGTTTTTCCATAGCTCATAATTTTTACGTCATATTTCACTGCCTTTTGCAATCTTATTTCCCCTGACAAGCAGGTTATGTAACTGTGTCCTAATTTGCCTTTGCTGCCTTACTGACCGATTTTCTCTCGATTCATGATGTTGACTAGCTCATGTTTTATTGTGTTTCAGAATGTTTTAACTCTCCGTTTCTCTACTGTGTGTGGGATGCCCTCACAGAGCATCTGAGGCGCCATTACTTAGAATGAGCTACCCACCTGAAACGTCACGTTCGTGTCATGAAGCAGATGGCCGCAGCGATCGCAGTGGTGGGAGCGGTGGGGCAGCTGGCAGCAGCAGCGGCGGCGTCTATGGGACATTGTGTGGCACCTGCGTCGGCGGCACCAAGGTTCCCGCGTACACCTCCACCTCCTATGATGTTTGTAACGATCCTATCACCTCCAGTCATCACAATCGTATTGTTTCAAATTGGAAGAAGTGGTCTCTTGGATTGGACTACCTTCTGCAAGATAGCGACGGTGTGGCCTTGTTCAAATCTTATTTGCAGTATGAGGGATGTTCCAATCTGCTCGATTTTTGGTTTGCCTGCCAAGGGTTCAGGAGCAAAGTGGATTCGTCCGATCACCGAAAGATAACGCAGCTGATCAAAGCCATTTATCGTACCTATATCCGTGGGTCGACTTGTAATACTACCATTGGGTTATCGACGATGCTGACAGAATCCCCTGTCTTGATGCAACCGCGGGCGGAACCGATACGGTTGAGAGCTGAAACTCGAAAGATGATCGCTGAGCGGATTGCTAGAAAATACGCCCTTGATCAGACCGTCTTTGACCCCGCACAAGCTGAGGTAGAGCATTTCCTCCGAACAACAGCTTATCCAGCGTTCTTGAAGTCTGATGTTTATGTTGACTTTTTGCAAGCCACTTTGGAGGGCACGAATCGAGGGCTTCACCCCTCAAGGCTTGGATGCACAGAGCCCCAACCAATGAATGCAATCCTTGGTATTCCTGATTATTCTGGTAACTTTCCGCTAGGTGGGAATATTCTTCCTACTTTGGAAGAAGACAAGGAGCTGAAATCAGAGGAGTTTTCAAGTCGTGCGAATCCTTTAGGTATTGGTACTCCAGGTGCTTACAATTCGGACCCGAATCGAGTACCCAGTTTTCCTTCATCTCAACGAGCATATCCGCTCAATTGCCCCCATTGTTCGCAGTACCACTTTCAGGGTCATCAACTCACGTGTCCATCATCTGATGGATGCAACCAACAGACCAATTATCCCCCACCTCGCATCAGTTCCTATGGATTCAGACCTACATTAGGCATCATGCCTTCCAATGCTCCCGCCCCCTTGACGATGGAAAATTTACAAATGACTCGACTTTATCGGACTGAGCTGTCTCTACAGCAATCGTTTCCATATACTCCTATGACATCAGGCGATCCTACATCGATCCTGAACCCACGACCCCAACTCACGGAGGGTTATTTGGTGGGTTCACGGGGATACCCTTATATTCGGAACTGTGAGCCTAAGACCGGAGGACCGCGTCCTCACATGAACTACGTATACACCCAGTGGGTCGACGCTATTCGGTAAGTCGTGACAACCGTCTTTCGCCAATTCTTTTGACATCTATGTTCGTTGGAGGGTAACATTGTTACCACCTTTATCCACGTTTGAATTTTTCAGCAATATTGATCGCCATATATTCTATAATCGTGTTCTTGTTCTGACTGTTTAATGCATTCTTCAGCACCGCCTATTGGACGCAAATTGATCACATTGCGATAAGTTACCGATGGAGAGGCTGCGACCAGAACTGTCGCTCGATTCAGAGCACATGTGTAGACACCGAATATGCACTTGTATGTGCTGACCTGCGGACGCACTTTTGGCGGACGCTCCCTACGACGTTGTGACCGCATTGACACCAGCCAACTGGCGAAGCCAGCTGTTCTGAATGCCTAAAAGTGCGCTGTCATGCGAGTTGGATAAGCGCTCACTGGATGCAGTTGAAGCTCACTGGTCTCATATGTCTAATCGCCAACATGGACATTGGGTCTCTTCACAGTCTCTTGAACTTATCGATGCTCACCGACATATTCCGACTGGAAGCGAATACAATGAAACTCGCAAAGAGCTCCGGGCAAAACTCCGTGCTAACCTGAAGAGAGACCTAGAATCCTGGTGGTCTCATCGTTCATCAGCGATGGAAATGGCCGCTGTCCTCGAGAACCATTGTAAGTTATTCCGACTGACAAGGGAATCGAGCAGCAGGAGACCTGGTGTTAGTGAAACAATTTATGACGAGAGTCGACAGCCTATCCACAACTCGTCAAAATCCTTGGAGCGTTTGGCTGAGCACTTGAAAGGCGATTTAATCGGCCGGAGTTGTTAGATTTCTCGCCGGCCACTAATCGCCCCGCTCCGTGGGCTGTCCCCTTGGATCCACGCTTTCGCTCAGAAGTCGAACGTGAGATCGAACTGTTGTAGTTAAATAAAGCCACGGGACCAGATGATCTTCCAGCCCTCTTCAAATTCGGGGGACTTGCTTTTGTAGATGATTTACACGAGTTACTGTTCAAACTGTGGGAGCAGGAAACTGTCCCAATCGACTTTCGCCGCTCAGTCACAGTCCCAATTTTCAATGGAGGCTCACGATCGGAATGCGGTCACCATAGAGGAAACCGTCTGATCTCCATCGCCTCCATTTTGATTACCTTCACAGACTGGCTGGCACTTGTGAAAACCATATTCGTGAAGAGCAAGCCGGGTTTCGTCGTGATCGAGGCTGCATTGACCGCATCTTCACTTTGCGTCAGTTGTTGGAACACTGTTACATATATTGGCGGCCCACCGTTGTCTTGTTTCTCGATATCAAAGGTGCATTCGATTCGGTGGATAGACTTGCACTTTGGGACTGTCTACTCAGGAAAGGTGTACCTGAGAGATGTAAATATTATCCGATCATTATACGCGCGTAGCTTACGGCAAGCTCTCGTCACCCTTTAATATCTCCGGCGGTTTGAGACAAAGGTGCCAGCTGTCACCTCTTCAATTTTACTATTGACGAAGTCATGGAAACCGCGTTCAGAGGACACGACTACGAAGGTGTGAATCTGCTCGCAGGAGAACGACTTCTTGACTTGGAGTATACTGACGATATTGCCCTAATCTGTGACAGCTCACAAACGTGTCAGGCGGCACTGGACAGATTTGCACTAGCTGTCCGTCACTCCGGGCTTTGCTTCGCACCCTCGAAGTGCAAATCGTTTCTCCAAGGTTGGGCTGGACCGCCTCCTACGCTGACCCTTGGTGGGGATCAGCAAGAAGTCGTTCAAAAATTCAACTACCTGGGAAGTTGTATCAACGCCCGTGGGATTGAAGATGAGATCACGAACCGTATGACAAAACCTCGGGCGCTTTTACTAATCTTCACTACTTATGGCGCGGGCGCGACATCACTCTCACCCTGAAGGGTAGAGTGTACAATGAAGCTTTAAGTTCGACCCAACTGTACGGTTGTGAAACCTGGCCCCTTAAAGCAGCGGACCTGAAGAGGCTAGTTACGTGCGACCACCGGTGCCTTCGCAAATTAGCTCATCTCTGGTTGGAACACCGCGTGAGCAACGAGCGTGTTCGACGGCTTGTTTACGGCACAGGGAAAGGAAATGAACCGCTCAGCACCGTTATTTCACTCATCAGGCTCCGATGGCTGGGCCACGTGTTACGCATGCCAGCCCACCGACTCCCGCGACGGGCGTTGTTTGCACACCGAGGGTGCGGATGGAAGAAGAGGAGAGGTAGACAGTCGATGACTTGGTCGAGAGGAATGAAGGCCCTCACTTCGGTGCTGGCCCTGTTTGGGGTCCAAAAGACGGTGAACACGTTTGGCTGGATACAATTTTGATATGGCTAGGAGCCGACCTCAGTGGCGTTCATGCTGTGAGTTTCTTTGTCCCATCCCATCCCTCTTAATATCTCCCTTCAACCACGATCTCACTATTTAGCACTACATAATTTTTCACATCTTTTTGATGCACAACAACCGGCTGGTAGCTTTCCGGAACGATGCCCATCCGTTACCGGTAACTCAGCCGGCTTGGATAAGTTGCACTTTTCTCTCCTTTTTTCTATGTATTGCTGCAGAGTAGCTGAACTGTTTCCCACCTTTGAAATGAAAATGAAATGTGTCAGCTTATACGCCGTAACGGCGCTTCGCTGCCGCGCGACCACCACCAGTCGCGCGCAGGCTGAGTATACCGCGAGGACGCCCACCCCTACGCGGATTCGAACCGGTGACCTTATGGTTGGAAAGCAAACGCGCCGACCACTCGGCCACCGGCCGACGTTTCCCACCTTTAGCTAATGTGTATGATGATGATGATGATGATGATGATAATGATCACTGCCTATCGATCGGCTGTTGTTTCCATGTTTCCTCGATTATACCATAATATCAGGATGCATTGAGTTGTCGCCTATAGTCTCACCTCAATCCACTAGTCATCATCTGCCCAACTTTTTACGCTTTCTATTCCACGCATTCGCATCTGTCTTATTTAGCTTCTAATTTTTTTGGACGGATCCCACCCTTTCGGATAACTACAATTAAGTGCACTCACTAGTAATTACTCGGTATTCTATGCATTTCGAGAATCCAATTGTTTCCTTTGTGAGCTTTGCCGTTTCTTTTCACGTAGTCCATTTTCTTGTTTCTACCAAGCCCAACGCTCGCACATTCGGCTGATCACATGCTGGCTACTCGCATTCCCACGCAACCACCGAATCCTTATCACATCTCCTACGCGCCTGCTTCTGCCAGAGATTCCGAGCACCACAGTCTTTCCAGCGAGGCTCGCACGGATGACACGCATTCACACACGGATAGTAGCCAGTACGTATTTCCTTTCAGCACTTTACAGACCGCTATGTGGTGTTGAATGCCGTCATCTTCTATCGTTTCTTGAGATGGGGAATGCTGCTTAACTTTCAACTCCAGGAATTAGTCATATTTACTCGATGTATTTGCAATCCGCTACCTTTATCAGAAAATTATCCCTTAGTTATTCCGAGGTAGTTACTCTTTTAGCTTTTGGTAGTTTCAATAACCTTGATGGTCGTATACACACAGAAATTTATGTACGCTTGCTTGGGGAGTTCTGGGCTGGTCACCTGGTTCTCCATCAAATACCACGAGAGCTCGTACGAAACTGTGTCAATGACAATATGACCACTTATAGGGTCACTGACCACTCACTTCTGTAACCAGAGGTGAGTATATAACTGAGAGCGGATGAGAACAACCTTACTAGCCACTGGATTGCTGCTGAACATAAAGAAGGCGAAGGAGTCAACAGTCTCTACCCCGCTGCCTTGCGGGTTAGGTCTTAAGACCAAAGGCTTGGGGTGGGGTCCCTTAAGTTAACCCTCTTCCTTGGCCTGGGCAACCGGGAAGATCTCTGCTCACACAACACACTAACCTTCTAAACTTTCCCATCCTTTCACCAACTACCCGTTTTCCCCTTTTTGTTGTTCTTAATTATGTCTTGTGGCACTGCCAATTGTACATTGGTCAAGTGTTGAATAATAACAATATGCTTTGCAAAGGCTGAGTGCAACACCTTTAACGCCAAGTGTTTTACACCTGTGTCCATCTTGTGGACAATTTCACTCGACAACTGAGACTCTTACATTTCGGACTGATGATCCCGTGTATCTTCAAATCTTTGACTATGGCTGCTCACGGAGCGTTATTCGCGTCGGTTAGCATCTGCATTCTGCAACAGGGAGGCGCGCATTCTCGTTTTTAACAACCATGCTTGGATTTGTTTGTTCAACCAGTAAAGGTACGAAGTTACATTCGGGTTCTGGTACATTATACTGGCAAAAGATTCGGTCATTGATCATCGGACTTTTGATCTGATTGGCTTCTCTAGTTGGGTTTCACATGTCTCACTTTTCTCTAGACCCAAGACGTCACATGACACGAGTCTCCAGAAGAAATGTGCTTACTGTTGTCCTTTAACCGAAATACTTGTCTGACTTGCTTTTGGAGCTGAGTTATCCGCGCGATAAGTGGCTTATTCAATAGCGCGATGATGCTGTCTCACCGCCATTGCATTGTTTGTGACCGAATGATTATCGCGACATGTAGCTGATGTGATAACGAGTTTTCCGTGGATTAGACCCTACTGTTAATCTGCTTCACTCTTCCTTACTCTTATTTTTATCAGTTACAACTTCTAATCCCGGGATGCATAACAACGAAGTGCCCATACAAGCTACCACTTTTGTGATATCATCATTGATGATTATTGCTCAAGTGTTCGGTTCAATGTGTCGATATTACCCACGTACATAGATGCGGAAGATTTAGTCGTCTTGACTATGTCGCGAAAATAGCAGCAGCATAAATTGGCGTGTTGGTTAGTAAGCATCTTAGCTCTACTCAGGCAACAATTCAACCTACACAGCTTTAATGATTCATTCGGACTCATTAAGGATTTCGGTCAAATTAACCTAGACACTAAGGACACGTGCTCTTTAGACGTTCAATCGAGATGGTCAATTCCAAATTCCAGTTGATTGGTGTGGAAAAATTCGGTGTGCAAATAACGAAGGATTTACGCAGATAGTCTGTGCTTCTCTGCACAGAAAACGTTGGATTCTGTTTCCAACAAGCTTCATACCACCAAATCGATGCAATAGCTTTGGGGGGTCCGTTCGCCCCGACGTTTTCATGGTAATACCAGAAAGGGACCTAAGTGGAGAGATCTTTCAACTCTCTTACTCCAAACAATATGTTAATGACATTCTCGTGTTCGGTTCTTCGAGACTGCAAATTGAACTCTTGCTGCACCAGCTTACTAGCATCTGTGCCAAGTTAAAAGTTATTCATGTAATCGGCACGAATGACTGCCTACCATACCTTGACATTCTCATCAGCCGAAGGGATACCAGGCTTTTTAAGCAGGCCGTCTACCGAAAACCAACATGGTTCGGTCAATATTCACACCTTGCCAATTTCACACCGATGGGCCACAAGCGTGCACTGGTGAAAACCTTGTTCACTCATGCCAAGTACATTTGCTCCAGCGATTGGCTGGGGATCTAGACACGATAACCAGAACGTTCCTGGAGAACGGTTGACACAAGCGCTTCATCTAAAAGCAAACCCAGATCATACAGCCGAAAGAAATGGTGTTGCTAGCTCCTAAAAATAGATATTTCTCTAGCTCCCATTTAAAGGTAACGCTATCACAATGTGCACCTTATTTCTGACCTTCCGAGAACATACTACGCTGCAGATACTGTGTTGATCAACAGAACCCGGAAACTATCGCTGCCTACAGTAAAGGAAACGAAATCCATCAGCGTCAAATCACACTATATGTTTAACAATTTGGAGGTAGCTGTGGCGTCAGTTATATAGGCAGGACTACGAAGGTTTCGAATTCCCGAGTGAAGGAACACTTGTCAAAATAGGTTCACTGTGAGGCCAGTCAACAGGAGGTCAGGTATCCTTCGCCCGATATTCCGTCTGCACGCAAGGCGCCATGCTGATGCTTCGCTCTCGTGCTACTACTGCAAACACTCTTCCATCACCCGCCATTCGCTTATCTACTCTTCCCCTGTATCCTTCTTCCCCGTTTTTGTCTGATCAATCAGTGATGAGCAGCATTACTTCCTCCGATATCACTGTTGCCGCTCCATCCTCTGACATAATCATGCAGCGCCAACCCGGGGTGGAACAGTCCCGGAGTATACCCTCTCCGCTTCTGCAACCGAAGACACAGTTCAACTTGGCGGCGTTCAATGTGCGTACCATAAAACAGATTGGGCAGCGAGCTGGTCTCACGCACACTCTAGTAACTTTTGCAATTGATGTCTGTTGTTTGTCTGAAACACGACATCTGGATTCCAGCACAGTCTACCCATTGTCGTCACCAGTTCATCCTTATACTCGTTTCCACCTTCGACTTTCTGGAGACGCCGAGGCTACCGCTTCTGGGCAAGCTGGTGTTGGGGTCGCCCTTAGTGCCAGAGCCGAAGCTGCCCTTCTCGAATGGATTCCGATCAACAGTCGTCTTTGTGCTGTCAGGCTACATGACTCGTGCAAGGTTAACAGGCGTCGAGAAGATAGTGCTCTTTTTGTAATCACCGCATATGCTCCAACTGAATGTAGTCCAGATACCGTCAAAGACCAATTCCATCAGAACCTTGATGATTTGCTCTTAAAGGCCCCCAATATGGACATCATTATTGTGCGGGGGATTTCAACTCGTGTGTTGGTCGTTTGTTACCAAGCGAACACCATTTTGGAGTCCCGCGTGAATACGACGACTTTCGCTCAGACAGTGGTGAAAGACTACTGAGTTTGTGTGCTGTCCACCAACTTTACCTCTCCAGCACTAATTTTCGCCACCCTAGACGTCACTACGCTAACTGGCACGCTCTATTATCTTCTCAACGTTAATCACAAATTGATCATCATCGTCGGCATGGCAGTATTCGGAAACTGATCATGCGCTAGTGCGTGCGTCGATTTGCATGCGTTTAGGTGACTCGACTAGGACTAGACAAACTCGAATTTACTCTGCTAAACTGCATGACCCCGCCGTGCAATTGGAATACCTATAGCAGCTTCATGAGAACCTCACTTCTCCGCCTCCTCGGGATGTTGATCAGCATTGGTCTTTATTGCAGCCGATTATGTTTTCAGCGCGTTTATCCAGTTGCGGTCTTGTTCGTTACACAACTAAAAGTTGGGTCTCGGCCACCTCCGTGGAACTTCACCACTATCGGCAGGCTATACCCGTCAGTGTAGTGTACACTGAACTCCGCCGTTCTATCTCCAGACAACTGAAAGTGAGTCTTCGCCGCGATCGTGAATCCTTGTGGTCTAAACAGGCCAAGGATATGGAAGTTGTTGCCTCTGCAGGTAATAGCCGCAGGTTGTTTTATCTTATCAGATCCACCGGACGCAAAGTTCAGGCCATCAGTCAGACCATCTGTGAATCAGAGGGTACAAAGATCACCAACCTACGCAAACGCTTGGATCGCTGGGCAGAGCACTTTACTCTACAGTTTAATTGCCCAACACTACCTCCGGTTACACATCCACTGCCGTCATGTGATCCTTGGTCAGTCTGCATAGATCCTCCCACTGAAGCAGAAATACGGAGAGAACCCAAGGCTATGAAACGCCACAAAGCTCCTGGCCTTGACAGTCTTCCTCCGGCCTTACTTATAGATTTGGGGGAACTTAGTTGTCACGGAAATTCTATCACTGTTCACAAAAGTATGGAGCGATGAGAAGGTTCCTAACTCATGGGGAGAATAAGTTGTGGTTCTGATCCACAAGAAGGGCTCTCGTAGTGAATGCACCAACTTGTCTCGGTCGCGTCCAAGCTCTATGTGCCCATTCTGCTGCGGAGGCTCTCAGTTACCCGCGAGAGTTTGTCTCTTGAGGAAATGGCTGCCTTTCGTTCTGGCCATGGTTGCATTGACAAAATTTTGACGTTGCGTCAAATTCACGAACATTGTCATGTCCACCGAAGACCGACAATGGTGGTGTTTTTGGATATCCGAGCTGCTTTTGATTCAGTAGATAGGCCGTCATTGTGGAACTGTCTGCTACGAAATGGCATTCCCCTCAAGTTTGTCATACTCTTGTAACAGCTGTATAGTCAGACCTCCTTCAAAGTTAGAGCTTATGGAAGGCTTCCTTCTTCATTTCCCCTTACCTTTGGAGTGCGCCAAGATTGTCCTATCTCGCCGTTCATTTTCAGCTTTGCCTTTGAAGATGTCCTACATCGCGCATTGGAAGGAGCCCAGAGCTGCGGGGTTGAGCTTCTACTCGGGAGTAGAGTCGTGGACCTGGACTATGCTGATGACATCGCTTTGCTGGGGGACGACTCGCAGGTTGTTCAGAACATTC